AAAATCAATATCATGCTCGTCGTCGTCCTGCTCTACCATCATAGCTCAAACTGAAAGTCTGAGTGTCGAATTAGCAGAAAAACAACAAACAAAGTTTCAATCTATTCTTCTATTCTTCAAAGCTCACAAAAGATTCAGAAACAAATCAAATCTTTCAATACCAAGAACAAAAACAGAGAGAGGCATAAACATGCTTTCACGACCAAATCCAATCCGACCAAAGGAATTCATAAACAAAACTTGTGCAAAATCATTATGTTTCACTACTTTTTTGTTACATTTCTTTTGGCAGCAAGAGTTTGCATTTGCTTTTTTTTCTTTTCTCGAGAAAATGCACCGCACCAGTTTGGGAATCCCTTCTGATAAGTTTTCGTCTCTCTAAAAATAGAGCTCTAGTATGGAAAAGCCGTAGAAATGTGATTCCTTGAACCGTTTACACATTTACAGAGTATTGGAATATAAGAACAAAAACAATAAAAACAGAGTATTGAGTATATCCTTTAATACATCATCTTGTATTTGCTTCGCATTCATGGTTAACTCTTCGAGATACTTAAGCTCTTAAGCCTGAATTCATTTTTGGTGATCTCTAATTCAACCTTGAACAATGGGATGATTTGTCTAGCAATACTGGTAAATAAAAATATTCTTTTTTTGGTCTTCTAACACTGAAAGATCAGCCCTTTTATTAAAGAGGTTCAAAACCAGAGTACAACAAGCGATTCAGATCCAAGTTAAATAAAAATATTATTATGAAGCAGAGAAAACGAGATAATTTCTTTAACGAATTATACAGATATGCATCTTATAAGCCGACAAGTCATTAATACAAAGAAATGTTGTTTTATACTAGTGATCAGTGATAGGAATCTTATGCTTCTATAAAACAATTAAATGAAATAGCTGGATTTATAATGGACTGTGCAATCTCCCGTATCTCTTAAACAACATTTCTTTCGTAAAATATTAAACATCTCTATACTATTAAAACAGAAGTCATTTAGAGTAAATGTCCAAAATCCTATCTAATATTACTGAAATTGCCATTGGTTTAAAACTATAGAAATTCAATTGAAATGGGTAATTTTAGAATTTTTCAGTGGCAATTTCAGTAATTTTAAGATCAATTTCAGACATTTTTTTAACCTGGAATCGGGTCAACACGCGGATCCTGGGTGATAACCCTATTCCGACCCGTTTCATTAATGGCATTATAGTAAATATTCTATAAAAAAAACCCTAGCGCAACA